TTTATATATTTTATTTTATCTTTTTCTGTTGTTAAATAAAAGTCAACAAACTAAAGCAGCTTAACTTGCGTTCAATCAACTCAAGCTAAAAGTCATTCTCAATCATCAAACTACTCTACCTATACATACATACGTGTATGTGTGTTGCATTCAAGCTCTACATACATACACATACTCATACACACTTAACGACTCTCGAACATTGCACTTAACCAAGTCGAGTGTAAACAACATGTTAAAGAAATGAATGGAGCCTTATAGAAATGGCTCAAATAACATAGACATACATACACACACACACACACATTTTTTGCAAGTGTTGCAAAACTCTCTTGATCAGCTTAAGCCAAACAAAATGAAGAACAACATTTGTAGAGCTGTCGCTTGAGTTGGACAAGTTGTCGTTAACAAGTCCAAGTCAAGTCGAGTCAAGTTAACTATAGTATGTGCGTGTGTGTGAGTGAGGGGCAAAAATTGTTTTATAGTATATTTTTCGAGCATTATAGCACTTTACACTTTTCACACGCTAAAATAATATTTTTTCTAGCCAGAGCAAAGAATTCACACTCTGCTTCATTGGTCGCAGCTGGCTGAATGAGAGTAGAATGAAGTAGAGAGAGAGTGGGAGTAGGAGAGCGCTCCACTGTTTGAGTGTGTAAACACAGCAGCGCAAATGTCAAGTAGCCGTCAATTGGCAGGCGCACGGGCGAGAGCAGGACAGCCTGACAAAGCACAGGACAAGACTGAGCAAAGGTCGTAAACCACAATTGGGCAGACAAAGCGTAACTTTGGTTCGCCTCTCTCCCTCTCTTCGTTCTCCCTCTTCGTTGCTCCCTTCTACCACTGCTCCGACACTTTCACTGCAGTCAGCGAGCGCTAAAAGTGTTTGCATTTTTATCAACTCCGCTCGTCGTTTGTCGCTCTCCCTCTCGCTCCCTCTCGCTGCTTGGCTGTCGGCGGCAGCGCCTTGTGCAAACACATCCCGTTGACTTTTTGCTCTACTCTACACGCTCTGCACTCTCCACTCTCTGCACTACGCTCTCCGCTCTCCACTTCTCGCTGCCCAAGCGTGCTCTAATACAGCGGGGCCATGGCAAAACCGCTTAGCATGTTTACCGTTATGTTCGGCACTTGAATTCGCCGTGTTGCATTAGTTCGCCATCCGTCTGCCCCATTACTCACGCTTAAGTGCAGACAGGTGCGCCTGGGCCGCCATTTTGTACATAAGAATGTAAAAAGAAAACAAATGTTGTTGCTGGCTGGGAGGCATGATAGGGAAGGGGAGTGGGTAGAGGGGACAGGGGCCAGGAGAGATCGCAAGGAAGTCCGTGCTACGTTCATGTTTGCTCTGTTTAACCTACAAACGTGCTTAAAGGGTTTTTTTCGCTCAGCACGTGCGTGTGTATGTGTGTGTGTGTGTCTGTGTGCGTGCAAACATTTGAGCAGTCAAAGAGTCATGCAGCAGCGGCAACTCTACGCAGAGTTGTCAAGTGTTTTTTAGGGAGGGGGCTTTACTGATAAGTAACAGTGTTTTAAGCTAACGGATTTTAGGGAGCTAAAATGTTTGCAGCTGGGACACAATTAAGCAAAAGCCGGAACGGGATACATTATATGGACCCTTAAGTATAATTTCCAGGTTGATTTATAAAAAAATACCCTCAAATTTATAAAAATAACGGTACCCCACATTCAGCTAATTATATCATAAAGCCCTGACTTAGCAACACAACAAAATCCCAAACAATTAATTGAGCAACACGCTTCAATGCATGTAAAAACAGTTCAATTACACAAGAACACAAAAAATGAAGCAAGAAAACTTTTGTCGTTGCTCTGACCGACTAGATGATGCCCTGCAAACCCAATGGGCTTGGGCTTTACTACATAACTTTTGTTTCGTCTTATAGATATTTTTTTTTTAATTTTATTTATTTATTTATTTATTTATTTTTTTTTTAAATTTTTAGCATATAGTTTACATATTTGAATAAATATTTTCTAATTTAGGAAAAAATGCGAGCTCATTCAGATATAGGTTATATGTGCTTCTGATCTTCAATTTAAAGAATTTCACTAGCTAAAATATAACGAATATCAAAATTGTATAAAATATGTATAAAACAAATTATATAATTCGGAGAGTATGGCTTTAAAAATATAGGAGATAAAAATAAGAGATACTAAAATTTCGATATAATTTTTTATCGATCGATTTTTTAAACGGGATCTAGATCTAAATTTTAGCTTGTATAGGTTGTAAGATCTACGAGTTCATATATATTCAGGGTAAGGGACGGATGGACTGACAGGTGGACTAAATCGTCTCAGGTTGTCTTATTGATCGGGAATTGATATACTTTCTAGGATCTGCCACGCCCCCTTCTGCCTATTACATGCATTTCAACCAAATCATTATACCCTGATTACCTATCTGCCATGAGTCCAGGGTATAGAAAGCAATGCAAAAATTAATTAAATGAAAACAGACAAAGAGCAATCGGACTGTCAGCTAATGCCCATGCTTAGGGCCTAATGCAGTCAAAGAACCTGAGTGTCGCGGGCGCCGTGGGGGGGAGGGGGCGTGTTGTTGTCCATTTAAGTTAATACTGATTAATGCTGACAAATTAACTATGAAATTAATCAATGTCCGAGTCGTTTACATGTGGAACAGCGACAAACAATGAACGGAATGGAGCAAACAACAACAACAACAATAACAACAACAACAAGAACAGAGGAAAGCCAAACATTTGAGGCCTACATTGATAAGACAAGCGCAGAGTGGCGACATCTAGCGGCTGTGCGGGCGCATTTGTTGTTTGTCACTTGCGGCGATTTATCAATGCCAAAGAGCGAGAGCGAGAAAGAGGAAGAGTGAGAGAGAGGCACAGAGAGTGCTAGAGTATTTCATCAAAGTGTCTGAGAGATTATCAAACTTGACAGACGGCCGCAGCCTCTTGAGCTGAAAGAAAAAAAAAATTCTATCTACATATTTATGTGAGTGAGAGTGAGAGAGGGAGAGGGGGAGAGGGAGGTTGGCTTAGACTGAGAGGGACAATTATGTGTTGCCTAAAGACAGGTCCGAAGTTTTGTGCGTGTTTGCAGTCCATCAAACAGCATGTGATAATTCAGGTTCATCAACATTACAATCAACAATAAACACACACACACACACACATACACAGTCATAAAAGTCAATGTTGTGCACAAACTATTTACTTATTTATGAGTGAGCGAGATGGAAGCGGGAGAGGAAGAGACTGAGTGAGATGTCCGACCATTTGGCATGCAAAAGTCCATGATGTGACTGTTGTTGTCTGGATGAATGGTTGTTGTTGTTGTTGTTGTTGCTGTTGTTGCTGTTGATGATGATTGAACAAAGACACGCAACAATAGCGACAGACTGAGCGAGTGTCTTCATTTTTGGCATGTGAAATTGCATAATTTATTGTGTGACAAAAATCATGAGCAGCTGTGTGCAGACCCAACCGGAGTCAACTCGAGCCAGCAGCCATAACTCAACGAGCCCATCGACAACAGGTCGCATAGCTAATTAAGTTGCATGCATGATTACCTTTGCCTGGGCGACAGGCTTAGTTCAGTTCTATTGCGACTGCCTGCTGAAGTGTCTGATCATTTATTCATCAGCCGAGGACAGTTCTAGTTGGGTGTGGGAGCTGTTGTATTAAGTATTAATGTTGAGCAGTCGAAAAGTTGCGATAGGTCTTAACTCTATTTCTTTGTCACTCTATCACTGTATGTCACTAGCTCTACCTCTGACTCTCTTCTGTTCGGAGGCATATCTATAAATCTCTCTTTTCATTTAATGAGATATTTAACATTGTCTCGCTCTATCCTACACATATCTCACCATCTCTCAGCATCTTTGTCGATGCTTATCTTCTTCTTTCTCCGTCTTCCATCTCTTTTTCTCTATCTCCTTTTCGCGCTCTATATCTCTCTTCCCCATGCTCTAGTTCTCGCTTTTCTACATATATCCACTTCTCTCTTTTCTCTCTCTCTCTCTCACTGGGTGGGCGTGGGCGTGGAAGTACTTATCTCTCTCTCTCTCTCTCACTCCCTCTCTCTCTCCCTCCCATTTTCTCTTTTCGCTCCCTGTCTCTATGTATTCCTCTTTCATTGCCTCTCTTTCTATTCCTCAACTGATCTCTGTCTATTGATCTAAGAATTTCTCCCTCAAGCTATCAAATTTGAGCTGTTTCCTTAACCTACCTTATATAGCTCATATACCCCTTAACACACTCTGAACAAGTATTTATWTATTTCACAATTTGACTGACATTTTGAGCACAAATTATGGAAATAATGAAACAAGCAATGAATGTTTCAACAAACTGTAGCGAATCGATGCGTTGATAAGCGAATCGACTTCCTCTCAGTGCATGCTCAGAGATCGATTACACAGAAAAGCAACATATATATATTTTAATAAAGAGCAAAACAAAGAAAATAAAAAATAAATTAATTAATAATATTATCAAATACTATAAAATTAATATTACTAATTTACATATCATTCAGACCTTCTGCACATTGAGCACAATGCCGCCCTGTGACTGCAGAAAGAAGCTCGTCTTATTCAGTTGCAGTGGTATTTCAGTTTCCTTGGCTGGCGAGAACTTGAAGTTCTTCAGCAGCACCGCCAGACCCACCAATGTCTGCATCTCGCCGAAGCGCAGGCCAATGCAGTTTCTTGGCCCGGCGCCGAAGCCCAGCCAAGCGGCTGAGTGACGCGCCTCGATGGCTTCGGGTGTGAAGCGATCGGGATCGAATTTTTCTGGTTCCGGATAAATATCCGGATCGTGGTGTATGGCATCAACCGGTATAACCACAGGCGTGCCAGCCTTAAGTACATAATTTGAGCCGGGAACGGGAAAGTCCTCGAGAGTTCTTCGTATCAAAATGGATGCAATGGAATATTTGCGAAGAGTTTCTATAAGATAAATGAAACAGCAGTTGATTATTATATTATTACAGAGCATCTCTGGTCTGGCTCACCCTGAACAATTTGCTTGATATACTTGAGTTCGCGCAGCGCCTCATAGTTGAGTTCCTTGTGCTTTTCGAACACCTGTTGCACCTCCTCTCGGGCCCGCTCCTGCACCCCGGGATGTGTGGCAAGCAAATGGAGGGAGAATCCCATTGTGCTCGAGCTAGTCTCAAAGCCACCCAGGAAGAAAACAAACGCCTGTGCCGCTAACTGATTGAAGGTCAAGCCGCCGTTAGGATCATTCCTCAGCTCCATCAACAGATTGAGAAAGTCCTTGCGTTGCACCTGGTTCTTATCCCGATAGTCCACGGCCTCGCGTACGACGCGCATATAGAAGTTACTCACATCGTCGGGCACCATTTTGATGTGTAGCCGCTTGGCCAGGTTGGGAAAGGTCTGCAGCAAGGCGAAGGCCAGCCGGCCGTGACGGCGCTGGGTAAACACCTTTTGGCCCAGGCGGCAAAACTCCACATTGGGATCGTTGAGGCTGTTGCAGTCCAGGCCAAAGGCGCAGCTGCCGATGATGTCCATGGTGAAGCGAGCGAGCAGATCCTTCACCTCCAAGGGTGATTCTTCGGCGTGCTCGAAGACCTCCACCTTCTCACGCACCACCTGCACAAATCGCTCGGAGATCTCAACCACCGTGGGCAGCATTTGATGCATCTTGAGCGAGGTGAATGTGGGCGTCAGTTTATTGCGCATCTCGCGCCACTCCTGGCCATCCAAATTGAACAGATGCGCCGATATGGGATCATCCTGTGCATTATAGTAGTTGCCACGATGTGAGAAGTTCTGGAACTCCTTCACCATCACCAGCTTCACCAGCTCCAAGTCCAGCAGCACTGCAGCGCCGCGCAGCGCGAAGTAGAAGCCTCCGAATGGCGCCTGACCCTTGTACTTCTCGTAGAAGCGGCGGAACGGCTCCAGCACCGTCGTCGTCTGACCCACGCTGCGTAGGTTGCCATAGAACCAAACGGGTTTCTCGTGCAACACCCCCTCGCGTGCCCAGTAGCTGTAGCTGCGGTGCAGCAAGACGCAGACCAGCGCCACCAAAGCGAACAGAAGTCCGAGCGTTAGCCACCAAAGCGACATGATCGACTGTTCGCAGTAGACTGAACTGATTGCTTCGATTCTTTCTCGCTCTCTATTTGAGTCTCTCTGTTTTCCTCTCTCTCTCTCTCTGTCTCTCTCTCTTCCCCCATTTCCATGTGCTAACTAGCTCAATCTACAGTGAGTGAAATTACGCTAATTTCATATTTTCCAGTTGACTAGCGCGGGCAACGCATACCTAAATCTATCCAAACAAAGGTATATGAGTGGGTATATATGTTTGTATGTATGTTTATTATACGATATATACACACTCTCTATCTCTCTGTATGTCGCTCTGTTTAATTAAAACTGTGATATGAGCTCGCTACAATGCAATTGAAGCTTCATTGTTTGAACTTGAACATGTTCTCTGATACCATATCATATCCCTCCCTCTCCGTCGTCCTCCCCCGCCATTTGACTTTTACTCTCTCGCAGCTAAGCTTTAGCTTAAAATTATATAAAACCTGTTGTAAATTATACTAAATATGCGTTTGTATATATCAAAGCAGGGGCGTAGCCTCCATATAATTTGTATTTGCGGGGGATATTATAAATAGTAAACATATAAACGCTAAATATTATGTATCCACATTTTCCTTACAATACTTTGGGGGAATAAAATATCATGTAATCTCATCAAAATATTTAGTAATAATTTCGATTGTCTCTATGTTAGACCCCCCTTTGATCTGCTCCACTGGCTTTAGATATCATGACTTTGCATTTCACTGGGCTAAGTATTTGTCAACAATATATACGGTTTCGTACTTTGTCGCCCAGACGCTAAATTGCTTAACCCACATTGGAAGCTGTGAGTTTAGCTAACGATAGCGAAATAATTAGCACTTTGTCGCTTATTGTCCGGTTATTTAATGGCTACGTCTCATAAGTCACTCATCCGGAGAAATGAGCTGCAGTCGCATGCGATGATTGAGACATTTGGAGTAACTCGCAATCGCATCGATGCGTCAACAACTGCCTGAAAGCTCATCGCATAAATAAAGCGTTAAAGCACGATCCGAGCCGAGGTGGGAGGGAAATGGGGTATCTTAAGAGCTGCTCGAGCTGCTCTATCGGAGCTCATAAATTCCAGACCACAAAGTGTCTCACTTAGCATGTCAAAACAGCCGACAGAGACCTGGTTCGAATATGGGCATTTCGATAAAGACGGAGTTGAGGGTTTCAGGTCTCACCTTAGCTCTCTCTCTTTCTCTTTCTCTCTAACTCGATTATTGCTTGAACGAACTGTAACGAGTCAAAGTGCTAATGAGCGCAGCTAAGAGAAATGCAATGTGAACAAAAAACAATAACATTTGCTTAGTTTTAGTTTATTGTCAGCCCATTGTGCATCTCGTGACACTCCTGACAATCCAAATTGAAGAAATGTGTCGATATGGCATCATCCTACGCTTTACAGTAGTTGCCAAGACGTAAGAAGTTCTGGAACTCCTTTACCAGCACCAGCTCAGAGGATAGAAACGGCAGAATGGCTCCAGCACTGTCCTCCTCTGACCCACTCTGCGCAGATTGCCATAGAACCAAACGGGTTTCTCGTGCAGCACCCCCTCTCCAGCCCAGTAGCTGCGTAGTGCAGTGCCAGCGAGTCGAACAGAAGTTCGCAGTCGGTGCTGCTGCTTACCTTGGGCTAAGTAGCTCAATCTAAGCTCATTTGATATGCTCCACTTGATTCGTGCTGTTAACTCATTCGAAAATTGATTGTATGAGCTCGAACCGCTCTATCAGAACTCGTAAATTCAAGACCACAAAGTGTCTCACTTAGCATGTCAAAACAAGCGACAGAACCCAGATTCGAATAGTCGCAGAGTTAGTTAATTTTAGCTATTGGAGAGCTAAGTTATGAGCCCATTCGAAGATCGAGCTCCACTCGATGCACAAACGAAATAAACATCTTAACTTATGGACTGGCTCGAGCTATGATCTCAATAATCTCAGCCGCTGCATGCATAAAATAAGCGAATTATGCCCAATTGAAGCTGACCGCTGTGATCCTCGCTTCAAGACTTTTCTGTATCTCTTTTGCTTTCTCATTACAAGATGCGGGTGAGGGTATTATGATTTTGTGTGGAAGTTTGTGACGTCAAGTTGAAGATTGTTCGAATATGAATGAATGATTGACATGAATACAACCTATAACAGATTTATAGGTACATAGTTAAAGCAAGTGAAGCATCTCAATTTTGGTGTCACATTGGAGCACAGTAATGCTATATATGTAGCATATTATATAATCTACTAAGCTTTGCTGATTATAAGTCAGGTATAGGATCTATTTTGTTGTTGATGCTTTAAATATATTAATTCATGCATAAAGTCTATTTTCGCTCAAATATATTGATGGACTCCAGTTCGTAAATTGAAATGGGAGTTTCCATTACCATTTTTGTTAAGGGTCAAGGGTGCTTTTCCTTTCATGTTTAGATGTTGTTTGGAGATCTAAAAAAATCATCTTGAGAGTCATATACATGGAAATCAAAGCTTTTCCAGCTTTCCTTTAAATTTTGTATTTCATTTACAGAAAATCCGTATTAAAATTTGAAAATATACTCTTTATAAAAATTTACGATTCTGCCTTAACTATTCTTTTAATTTCTTAGCTCCTAGTGTCCACCATCTATACAGGGCATTTGTTAGTCGGGTATCCTGTGTTTTTTGGTTTTCGTCTGTATTTTCGCTTGGTTTTTTGTGAATGTTCTGTGAAAATCGGTCTAAAGCCGGCCTGCAGCTATGGGCCAGCTCATAGCGGGCAAACATCAACGTTCCCAGCTAATTGAACCAGTAAATCGCCCAGAGAGAGAGAGAGAGAGAGAGAGAGAGAGAGAGAGAGAGAGAGAGAGAGAGGGAGAGAGAGGGAGCTACCAAGAGAACGTTAGTAAGCCTGACTCGAACTCTGCTCTGAACCTTCTCTCCACATTCGACTTCGACTCGTGTGTAATTTGTGCCTTTGTTTTCTGTGGCCTGCGGTGGCGCACTTTTCTGACATTAGTTTTCGATTTTCATTTTCTTTTTGTCGTTTTTGCTTTGTTGTTTGTTGCAAATGCAAATTGTGACCGAAAGTTCAATTTTCGAGTGCAGTGCGCTGGCATTTTGGGGGCGTGGCCATGCCCTGTGGAAGCGCAGCCAGCTGGACGTGACATTGCATTTGTCGAAAGAGTCAAAGGGAGCTAAATGAAAAAAAGAAAAAGCACGAGAACAACAAAAAATTGCAGGTGAACACAGGTCAGGTAGTATTAAAGTCGCCAGACAGAGAAGCTCAACTTGAACTTGATGTCTTACTAAGCAAATCTACAACAAGTTGAGGTCAAACTTCGCTAGATAATATCTCTCTCTTTCTCTCTCTCTCTCTCTCTTTCTCTCTATCTTAGTTCGGCCCTAAACTGCTCTCATTAGAGCTTTCACCTTTACACAGGCAACAAAAAATTAGTTCACTCAGCCATAAAATCTGGCTAAATAGAAATAGATTAGCCACAGGTTTGGCCCATTGGCCGCAGCGGAGTAAACAAAATATGAAATTCCAAATTAGATACGTATCCAAATGCTACCTGACAGCAGACAAATCTAACGGGGCAGTTGGCTAACAGCCATGGGAGAGAGAGAGAGAGAGGGAGAGGGAGACAGTCATATGTCCTGTGGCAGGAGCAAACATGGCAGACAATTAATAATACTTAAAAAGGCAACGTGCAAAACAACAACAACAGCGACTCACATGTGTGTGCTTAGGTGTGTGTGAGGGGGTGGTTATGCCCCTTTTTTCTTTGCTTCTTCTCTCCGGCCATATAATGGATAATAACATGCACATCAACACGGCACGCCTAAGCACAGGACTTAGCAGCGCCCGGATCGCTGAGGGGTTGCTGTTTGTTGGTAATGAATAATGTGCACTCACCTGGAAGTTGGCTTGAAATATGGCTACATTTTTTTGCTTTGTCGGTGCCTAGCGAAACAGAAAGAAAACAAACGGAAAATTACAAATTACCTAAAATTTTATTTATTTCGTTCGCTCACCCATTTTTGGGCCAGCTACCAAGTGGGTTCAATTATTCATTTTAAATTGAAATTAGGCGCGACGTTTTAATGCAGTTTTTTTATAGCACATATAGAAGACAGTAGCATATAAAAGTTGGCATTGGCTTCAGGGCCAGCTGCTGGCCAGTGGAGAGTTGAGGGCGTGGCGCTGGTGGCGAGGGCAACAGCTGTTGGCATTAGTTGCACTTTGGCAGCACGACGAAAGGACTCTGATAAGGTCAAGGGTCACACTCTGTGGCGGGTCAGCATTTAGTTTATTATTATCGGCCAAGCAGTGGGAGGTGCTAGGGGGTGGGCGGGCTATGAGTACATGTATAAGTGCTATATACATATGTTTCTACTATTTTATTCTATGATGTCCTTCGCTTAAGAATTTCAAACCTTGAAAGACCTTGAACTTTAGTTATGTATATGCAGGGCATGAAAAGCAAGACGTTAAATATCCAGAACAATTTTTAAAATATATATT